GTTGCCTTGGTTCGCGTTTGTCAAGCTAGTTGTGGATGAGGTTCCTCTAAAGGAACAATCAAACATCGTGGTCTTGGTTGAACTACGAGGTGCAGGGTAGAACTGTTAAGCGTTGAATCCAAGAAAAGAAACGCAAATCAGCCAACGTTGTTGTCAAGACGTTATGCCTAGGATTCAGTCTTCCAAACTACAACCGTTGCGGCATATTCCAGCAGCCTACCTAAGTGCCATCTTTGTATTACCTGCTATTAACGACTAAAGCTATTACCAACTTGAAAAATGGATAGAAATATTTGATGGCTGACCTGCGCAAGGAGAGGAAGGCGGTCACACAAATATTGACAAAGTTATTGAAGGTCGGGGTCTTCGCACCGCCCATAGCTTCAATCATATCCTTTGTCAGCCGCACCTCGGGTGCCATGAGCTTTGAGTCGTATCCGAAGATAAAACTGAAGTCGATGTGGAAAAGCTGACCCTCGGACGTCAGCATTATGTTATCCATGTGTCGGTCGCCCACACCCAGAAGGTACGTCATCACACAGTAGCCCGCTTCATTTCCCCAGGGCAAAAAAAATGAGACCGATATACACATTTAGAAAGTCTACTTTTATGCAACATTGCTGAAAAGGGTCAGTCTACTTTTGTAGCACATATCTACCGCCTTCTGGGCAATAGTTCCTTGGCAAGAAAGAAAATCAACGGTTTTCCTCATTGTTTTCGATTTTGCAAGGCTCCACAAAGTAATGAGAGCCACTACAGTAGCCCAAGCAATTGCATCTTTGTGGTCAACGTTAAACGGAGATGCATTCATTAAAATACACCTCTATTACAAGCCCTTTGGAGTAAATGTGTGCATGCAATGATCGATTCGAAGAAAGCTAAGACTTACCGCACGACCGGATGTAGGTCTCCAGAACTTTCGGTTGAAGACCCAGAGAGTCCTTAGAACTGGGAGCTCGCTGTTGAAGGTACTTCAAAATAGAGCCCTCCTCCTTGTTTACGTCGGACAATCTAACACCTTTCACGAATTGGATAAAACCTGCAGAACCACAAATCGTTAGTTAAGCTTCATTGAATAAAATTGCTGACAAAGTATGAATCAAGGCCTTCATTACGAGAGCAAATACTTTAGAGCCCACATCCCTAACAAGACTGGTTCGGCCTCCTAATTCCTCCTTCCCCGGGAAATAACTCTTAATCAAACGGCTACGAGGGTCCCGTTAAGAGCTCCGCTAGCTTAGATTAATGTTAACTGCCAAAAGGGATCTGTCATGATGGGGAAAGCATCGACAAAGAGCATCACAGTAAAATGAAAAGGAAATCATTTCCAAGGGGATAAAATAAGCTTGACGGAACAATTAAACTACGAGAGAGGAGACTTCCAAACGAAGCTGAGTTCAATATTTTCAAATGGTTGTACTTCGTGTTCCTTTATCAATCAACATACCGTGACGACAACTGGCGGCAAGGACAACGTAGGGCGTCAACTGAAGATCAAACATCTCTTTCTTCAAGACCTATTGATGGAAGCCACAAATTGAAGACGCCAATCACTTTCCTTCAGTTCAGAGGAAGAAGAGCAACAGGAAAAAGGAATGTGCAACATACAACATCCATGAGACGAATCATCTGCAGAACCACCTGATCCTGCCGCAAGTCATCGCCAATCTTGAAGATCACTCGGTAAAGTTGACCCTCCGGAGACACTAAACTCAGCAAGGCGGGTTGGGTAGCACTCTACAAGGGATTGGAAGATACGATGCTCCACCTTGTTCCAAAATCTAAACCAAGCCCATGTGGAGAAGTTGTCTAGAAGTATGAACGATAACTGCTCAATCACGTCATCATGACATTCCAAACCACACCTTCCCTCGTAACAAACGTCAAACGCCACCAACGCACATGTGCACTCGCACCATCGATCAGTCCACTTGGACGAATAGGTCTCAAAACGGATGTTGCATCATATCAACAGCACTACAGAATT